AAGCTGCTTTAATAAGTAAAACAATGTGTGAAAATAACTGTGTTTTAATGGTAAACACTCTCACAAGCTTCATGCTGGAGGAAGCCTGCATACGTGTCTGTATGTGTGAAGGCTGTAAAGTTCAAACCCTGACCCACCTTCACAACTCCTGGCCAATCGCTGCGTAACGGGCGTCTGTTTCCAAAAGTTACAAAAACTCAAATGCAGCCACACAAGCACCTCGTCTGAAACACGCTGAGGCCTGAAGTACTTAATCAGTTACTGCTGTAATGGTTTCTAATCTACTGAACCTGGTTACAAAGTGTAAGATAGTTCTGTATGCTGCTGCAGTTTGGGTTTGATGTCAGCGTCCCTGATATCTGGTTAAAGGGGCCCGCGGAGAAAATTCCACGAAAAGACCAAAACCAATGAAGAATATTTAGTTTGAGGATAGATTTCTCTTTGAATGATCTGGTTTCAGGATTGATATCAACTCATTGGCTTGTCTATGAGGACAGATGAACACAGACAGGAGTTTCAAAATCTTTTATTTTGATAGAACAGTTTGTCTGATAAAAGAAAAAAAAGATTATCTAAAACAAAACATTTGGGTTTGCCACAGGTGAGCCAATAAAGACTCTGAGTCTCTGGCCCCTGCAGGAAGCAGGCAGTTAGAGGAGTGCAACCGTAGGAGGGGATTTTCCCGCGACCAACCGCCATGTTTCCATCCAAATGTGTTGCAAATTTTAACTGAATTTCAAGTAATTCGACAAAGGAAAATACAGGGAAATCATCGGGATAAGCCAAGTCAAGTCAATATTATGAGAAACTTTCTCATTACAATTATTTACAGAATCCCGTTTCCTGTCACTTTGGCAGAAATGGGTTTCCATAAAATGTTCACAACATCAGAACTTACTCAGAAAGTGTTTCCATCTCACATTAAGAGCCTTAACTTTTCCAAAAAGGCAACAACCACCTCAAGCAACCTCCATCAACCTTTTCTAACACGATACTTCAAAATGTGCTTCAAAAAGCGTTGACTCTCAGTTCTCTTAGATTTTTCTACCATGTCTGTGTCCATCGGCTCCTTCTCACAATGTAAATCTTTATAGTTTCACTTTAAAAAGTGCTCAGTAATTTCCTTAAACAGCTGGACGCTGCACTTTTTAGCAAACGCATCTCAAACAGGAGTAAATTTATAATTTGTTAGGGACTATTTTCAGCGGCGGATTAATACGCATTTGGTGCTCTAGTGTATTTCCAGCAGCAGGGACAATGTATGTGGGATTAACTACTAAAACCATGTTCATGGTAATGGATCAACATGTCACCGAACAGCTTCATGGCGCAGAGGAGCTGGTAGAATCGATTCATTTGTTTCGGTGTTTTCTTGGTATTTGTTGACATAAATACAGAATCTGAGACTTTTCCTCGAACTGGATGAGAGAAGCTGCTGCTGGTCCGATCCAGAGCTTCAGCTGGAGACTTGTTGTTGGGGCTTCTGTTTACTTTCTGTTGTTTCCTGCTGCAGGTTGTCGTTGTGTAAAACTGCCTTTCAGACCTCAGGTGGAGGTCTGACTACTCCTGTTTGTTTTGTTGTTTAGTGACCTTTATCTGATTTTATTTTAAACAAACATATTGCAGTGGTACGAAACTCACCCATTAAATAAAACCAACCACTATAATTATATAATTATAATGTTATATAATGTTACCGTGGGCCGTATGATCCTCTGAGTCTCAGGGAATCAGTTGTCTTTACCTTTTAACTTACTGCAATTAAACAGAGGATGTGTTTCATGAGTTTGGCTTTCTTTGTTTTTAATGGTTCAAAGAGGAAAATCCAGCTGTTGCCTCCATGATGAACAGTTTAAAAGAGAATGAAAGCTAATGTTTCATGCTTTAATTTGTACTTAATTCAACTAGTTCTTTCTATAAATGTTGTTGTTTACAATGCAGCACCTACAAAACTCCCACTCTATCGATGCTTTAGCGCCTCCTAACAGACGGGTCCTCCCTCCTGTATGGAGGAGGCTTCATGGAGTTTCATATAGAAAACATTTGAGTGTTTTTCCTCATTTTTGAAGAATCCTGACTTTGACTATTGATAAAAGAGTGTGATTTTTCATGTTATCTAATAATACAGTACAAATAATAATAAGTTGTACTGTTAGGCGAAGTATGTTGATACCATATTTTAAGACTTCAGACCAAACAGAACAATTTTCTTTGGACGTAAATGGGTTAAAGTAAATTAAAGGTATGAAAGTCACCAATTATATACCGGTAATATACTTCATATAATTATATTCTGTGAACTATATGACCTGACAATTGATTTCTGAAAGAAAATCCAATAATTCCTCCGACCAGCAGGGAGCGATAATACCTGCATGAGGTCTGAGGTGCTGCAGTTGGACCCTTCTGCCTCCTAAAAATCAGTGTATTCAGAGGTCAAAGGTCAGTGAAGTTGAACTTTGGATGTAGAAACTAGCAGACAATACATCACATTGCTGACCTGATCGATCTGTTAAGGTGATGGTTTATTTGTCCCCCGTACAGCCGGCGTATTCAGACAGGACTGTTACTGAAAGAGCCACAATGGTTGTTGGCTGAGCAACACTTTAACCCTCAATATTCAGCGTTTATGAGCCGTAAACAAACGTTTAATGAATGATTTAATAACACAATATAATGCAGTTGTAAGCTGTTATAAACACCAGAGGTATACTTTGTCAAATCTCAGAGGAATCATTCCACTTTGGTCAGTCAGTGTGTTTCTAACTGACTTCATTGTTTTGTTTCTGTTTTGTGCTTTTTAAAATGACCACAGGTCCACCGATGCAGTTTAAATAGGTGGAACTTTTTATTGGATCCTAATTTAAAGTATCACACACTGTCGGTCCGTCACTGAGAGGCAACTGTAACAGTAGGTTACTAATATATTTTATAGTATTTACTAACTAATAACTATTATAACTTCTCCATATTTTATATTGTTGCAGCTGTTACTATATTGTGTTTATTCAGATAATAATAAACAGATAGCTTCTGCTTATGGGTGTCTATAACTTCATTATAGTCTGTTATAAACCATTTGTTACATTTTTATAAACAGCTTATAAATACAAGGGGCAGGAGTTATTAAAGTAATTTAAAAAAACTTAATTTAATGTTGTTTTAATTTATTAATATATCAGAATTCTGCTGCCTGTTTTATGCTTCATGTAAATGTAAATAATGAGAGGAGCGCTAACGTCTTTTACTTTCAAATATTTTATCTGTCGTGAGAAGAACAACTTAAAACTGGACTAAAGGAGATTAAACTGTAGAATTTGGGTTTTTTTCCCAGAATGTTGGACCGTACTCACTCTTTAATGACTAAATATCAAAATATCAAATATAAAATATCATATAATATATATTAAAATATAAAATCTTGCAGCAGCAGAACTGAAAGCACCAAACTGTGAAACATTATTGACCTGAATGAAGTCATGAAACAGAAAAAGACAATATTAAGAAAATGGACAGTATTTTAATGTTAAAAGAATAATGATAAACAAATATTAAAACAAGTTAAAACGAGTAGATTGGTCATAAAAAAAGTTTTGTTCTATAAAGGCATATTTCTCTCTGTCATCGTACAATAAGAAGAAGGCTTCAATCGTCACTTTAGTGCCTTGAATCTTCCACTGGTGGCTTTTGTTCCCGAGCAGCCTGAATGGAAAGAGGTTATTCACTGTGCGCTGAGGTCTTTATTGTTTCCCTCTTGTCTGTGTGTGACTCCCTGATTGATTGTGTCTCAGAATTCTTTGAACCTGGAACAGAAAGTTGCATCAGACAGACTATTAGACACAAACAATGCAATCAGATATAATGGAGTTGAGTGCAGATGGTTAATATCCTGATTTAATATCGTTGAATTCCTCATTTAAAGGAATAGTTTTTGGAAATATATGTATTCCCTGACTGGCTGAGAGTTGAATCTTTATTCATGTAGTTTAAACCAAGCAGAGTTGACCAAAAGTGCTGTACAAAATAAAGTCAATAAATCAATAAATGACAATATATATGAGCTAATATATATATATAAATATAAAAGCCACTGAAAACATGTATGTGTTGAGTTTTATCTTAAAAGTCTCCAGTTTTAGCCACCACATCTGGATGGACTGTTAGCTTAGCTTAGCATAAAGACTGGAAATGGGGGGAAACAGCTAGCCTGGCTCAGTCCAGAGGTTATAGAATCCACCAACCAGCAAACTCTAAAGCTCACCGATGAACACGTCACACCTTGTTTGATGAATTCGTATAAAAACCGAAAAGTAAAAAGACCATTTGTGGCTTAAGAGTTATTTTAATATTGTGTAACAATTTATTGATGAACAGGAGTTTGTATTAGCATCAGTCTGATGAGCCAAGAAACAGTTCTTGCACGTAACTCCCAGAAAAACCACAATTTATCGTCTTTACACTTCTGTTTTTGTACTTAATAATGAGGTATAACATGTTAATTACTGATCTTTAGGGATGTTGGTGGAACCTGGCTAGCTATTTCTCCCTGCTTCCAGTCTGTATGCTAAGCTAAGCTAACTGCTTCCCGGCTCCAGCTCCAGAGAGTGAACGTTTGTAACACC